ACGATGACCCTCAACATGCAGACGGCTACGACGGGACGTTCCCAGCGGACCAGTCAAAGAACATCAATCCCATCAGAGTCTATGGTGAGATTTAAATGACTGTTCAGACGTCTCATCCAGTCTGACTCAACATTTCATCTGTAGGTGTGGAGACTTTCCTCTGAACACCAGCAGCTGCAGACAAAGGGGGCTACTTAACCGGCTTCTTGCTTCACATGGTTTGTACTTTGCGTTGATCAAATGAGGAAACAGTTTAAAACTGAAAGTTAAACCAGTTTATTTTTAAGGCCTGAGCCAATTTCGGTTTCCTCTTTAGACAATATTGTTAAAAAATGAACAAGTTAAACAAATCTAACTCCTACAAAGAATATCAAGAGAATCATGTTTTAATGTATTTCTGTACATAAACCACCGTCGTTCCACTGACGATTATTCACTTCTAATATGAGACACTCGTCTTTGGTGAAACCTCTTCAGAGCGAGACAACACGCTGCTACGAGATCTCTACGTTTGTCCGTATAGTCCCATGATGCACCGCTGTGCCTCCTCAGTTGTCCTCGTCCTCGTCCTCGTGGGAACCGATGGTCATAGGTTGCGGTTGCGGCTGCAGCGCCTCCTGCTGGATGGACACCATGCCGGTCAGCAGGGCGTAGCTCAGCATGGCGCCCAGCGCCACCAGGGCCGACAGCACCTGCTTCCGGCGCTTGTTGGGGACGTGGTCAAAGTCGCCGCCTTCGGGCGCCGCCGCTGGCGAGCAGGACGTCTTTGGACCGAAGGTCTCTGGGAAAAGAAGAAAGGGGGAGGAAAGATTCACGTCAGCCGAAGCGAAAGTCCAACAAACGCGTCTTCATGTCAGCTCGTCACGCGGCGGTGACCTCACCGCGGCCGTCCTGGGGGAAGTAGAGCAGCAGGATGTTGCTGCAGAAGCTGCTCAGGTTGTCCAAGGACTTGAGGTGCTGCTGCAGTTTGCTGTTGGGCAGCTTGGACTTCAGGACGGGGGCCAAGTGGCCGAAGACGTAGGCGTCCAGAGAACAGGGTCTGCATAGTACACACACACACACACACACACACACACACACACACACACACACACACACACACACACACACACACACACACACACACACACACACACACACACGAGGAGGTATAGTACAAATATTAACCAGTATTTTAATACGTAAATATCTCCACTGTCTTAACTCTCATCTCATGCACAGTAGTAACATGGCCGTTGCTACGGTAACGCCTTTGAGGATCAGCTCTGAACTCACGAGTCCCCGAAGAAGAACTTCTGTGAGCCGAGTCGCTGGGAGAGAAGATTGAGACACTCGACAGCGTCACGGTACAGCTGGAGAACAGACACAGGGTCACACGTTAGACACACACACACACACACACACGGTGTGTGAGGAACGTGAGCTCGTGTTCGGTGACGCGTGGTGAAGAAGAACATTCACGTGGAGGCTCCAGGACCAGCTGCCTTCATGAGCTCAGACGGCTCAGAAAGGAACAAATGGGCGGTTAACCGCGCGTTTGACCTTTGACTCGTTTCCATTACCAGCGTTTTCCACTGGAGACACATTTTCCCTTTTGCTTGTAAACTTCTTCCAACCAACCTGAACACATGGAAACTATGAGGCTGTCCTCCTCACCTCCTTCTCCAGCTCCTCCCCGGCCTCCAGGCCCTCGTCTCCGCGCAGCAGACGCAGCTTCTCCAGCTGGCCGCGCTGCATGCGGCCGGGCAGGAAGAAGTTGAGGGGGAAGGGCATGTGGTCGGCGTACCAGCGGCGCGTCACGTCCACGTAGTTCTTGGGCTCCACCCAGAAGGTGTAGATCTAGGTCACACACAGAACCTGTCCTGAACACGTGTGTGTGTGTGTGTGTGTGTGCAGGGTGTGGGCAGTCACTCGCTGAGGGTCACTCACCAAAGCAGGTTTCAGCTTCTCCTCCAGCAGAGAGGTGAAGGCCAGGCTATCGGCGCCCTCTTTGGCCGAGAGGTCGTAGTCCGCGTTGTATTTCTGAAAAACACAGAAAGATCATAGAGCTGCGCATCGTAGATCGTAGCGCATTGTAGCGCTTGTGTAGCGCTTGTGTAGCTCTTGTGTAGCGCTTGTGTAGCTCTTGTGTAGCGCTTGTGTAGCGCTTGTGTAGCGCTAGGCGTTTTAGCTATTCAAGCTGTAGAGCAGCTCTAAACTAGGACACAGAAGATGTGGCAAAGTGGAGAGGAGGCAACAAGGAGCTTCTACTCGGGGGCCTTTCATGGTTTTTACAACTGAGCTGCCGGAGGCGCTTCTTCAGCAGCTCCGACCAAAAGCAGCGCGAGGCAGAGAGCATGCTGGGTAATGTGTTCCAGCTGGCAGTCAGATAGACAGCAGGAAAGAGCTTTCGCAACTGGACACACACACACGCACACAGACACACACGCAGACACACACACACACACATGCAGACACACACGCAGACACACACACACACACACACATGCAGACACACATGCAGACACACTCAGTGAAGGGGGTGGTTACCTGTTTTCTCAGGTGGATGATGATGTCAGAGGGTCTGGTCAAACTCTCTTTCTGATTGGTCCTCAGAGTAGGAAGTAAGCCTGAGAAAAACAAACAAAAAAAGATGAAGGGAACAACAAAAACAACAACAGTTGTTTGTTGTGTGGCGGTGCCTCACCGCTGGGACTCCTCCAGGGGTTAGACATCTTCCGGAGCTTCAGAGGAGCTCCTGCAAACTGAGCGTAGGCCTGCCGGGAGACAACAACAACAAAAAATAAAACCACAACAACAGATGAAACAACAACAACAACAGATAAGCAATAACAACACGGGATGAAGGCAGGTGGAACTATGGATAGAATCAAATTAAAAATAAACTGAAAATTAGTAATTACAACACAGTAGTGGCCAACCGCCCGACATTACCCAGAATGCACTGCTGCTCTGTGCGCAGATCAACACACCATGTTTAGCTGAGGTGTGATGCATCTACACAAGACCCTGAATCATCAGCCCACCGCCGCTGCAAAGGATTCTGGGAGCTCACACTACAAGCTGTCTCATCTTACAAGAGGATGGACAGTTTGTCCACATGAAGACATGTAGAGAGACAGACGAAGTGACAGCAGTGAGTGTAGCTCCGCCTCGCGGACATTTGAGGGATTAAACGTCTCTTAGTGACACATGTACGACATACTTGTGTACTTTCACTGCCGATACTCTCAAATGAAGCCTGTCATAGTTTGTACTTCCACTTTTAGTGGATCGATTTATTTTTGCAGCTCAATTTGCGGTAAGCACGTTGCCTGTGATCATAACACCTTTATAGGCCTTGAACAGTGAGAAATAATAAATAATGAGAATATTCCGTTTAATCCATACAGAAGCCATCTGATCGAACACTCTGACGTCACCGGCGTCACTTTAAAACGTGTCGTGTCGGTTAACCGTCCGTCCGTCGTTCATTGAGCCGTAGCATGCTAACGCTAGCAGCAGCTGCCGGGTGATTTATCCGGTGTTTCCGGTTGTGAATGAAGCCGTTTGGGACGGACACTCACCAGGACCACCAGGCAGTCGGTGCTGACGGACGGGAGACCCCAGTCTCCTTCCCAGCAAAACAACTCGTCGGGCGCCGCCATCTTCAGCCGGGACCGTGACCTCTGACACCGGAAGAGAAGCCGGAGGTGCGGACGAGGCCGCCGGAATGTATCGTATCTACTTCCTGTTTTTGTTACCGTCACTAAATGAAAACAAGACCTCTCACATACTCCGAATTACTATTTATATTAAAAGTACTTACTGAAATATAATAAAATAAATTACAAAAAGGTATTTACACTTTATTATTAAAAAAAACCCCGGAGTGTTAAAATGAAATAAGAAACATTCTGTGCATTTTATAGTTTAAACGACCAGACAAAATGCCACTTATGCACTTATAGACATTCACAAGACTACACGTCCCAGGGAGCATTGCTTTACAAATTGACCAATCAGAGAGCTCCAGGCTTTCAGCTCCGAAATTATTACATTGTCATTATTCTGGGCGTTGGTGGTGATGGTGATGTCTGTTGTTGGTTTGTGGATGTTTCAAAGCTTCTAGCTTGCTTTTTTTGTCTGTTGCCATCTTGTTTTTCATGCAACAGGAAGTGGACATAGACCGAGGAGGCCGAGGAGACCTGTCAATCAGAGTGTAGCCCCGCCCTAAAGCGTCCCCTGCTTTATGGTCTGTTTGACTCTAAATGGACCATCATTTACTAAATGAACATCATGTTGTGTTGAAGAAGACTTGAAACTAGAGACTGAGACCATAAATGCACATTTACAATGTTTACTGAGGGAATAAATCAAGAGAGAAGAAGAGTAATTTCCTCATAGACGTCTATGGGAGCAGAGGAGTCGCCCCCTGCTGGTCACTACAGAGAATGCAATTTCATTATTACATTACAGGTCATTTAGCTGACGCTTTTATCCAAAGCGACTTCACTTTTTTTGCCCAGGGAGCAATTTGGGGTTATGTGTCTTGCTCAGGGACACTTCGACACGGGACATGGAGCTGCCGGGGCTTGAACCGCCAACCTTGTTGGCTTTTTGAATCTTCTTCACTTTGTTTGTATTTCGGAAAATAAGTCAACAAGCAGCCAAATGAGCAAAAACATGTTTGTTTTGCTCTGTGATCACAGCGGTTTAACGACGTGCGGCTAAAGACGCTTAACGTTTATGTCAGTGGTTCCCAATGCTCGCTGGTATGAATACTTTGTGTTCCCTGATAGCTAAACATGTGGTTGTTTTGCAAGAACTTAAAAGCTGATGTTTACAAAAGTCAAATGTATATTATGATCTATATTTTGACAGATCCAGCCGAATATGAATGGTAAATTATTTACGTTAGCAAAATCACAATGAAAGCGATACGCACATTAAGCTAATGTCACCACATAACTGATCTGTATCCGTTTGAAGTATTCCAAGAGGTAGTAGTACACACAGAGGAGTATCAGCAATATTTATAAGACACGTGTTTGGATCCAGAAGCATTCGATATTAAATGTTTTGTGACTGAATAGTTATGATGTTATAATAACATGTTCAGAGGTCATGTGACCTCAGCCTCAAGCAACTACAGAGCTGTAGATGATGGAGTCGTCCTCCACCTTCACGGGTCTGCAAACAAACAAACAAGTAAACAAAGATGTTGAGTCAGTCAGAGAGACTCATTGTCTCTGATGCCCTTAATAATGATGACCACAATAACACTAATGATGATAATAATTATACAGGTGTACCTGGCCTGGCCTCCTCTGGCCTTGAACTGGATGTGGGCGTAGCTGACGTCTTCTTCCTGCTGCTGAGCTCCTTTCACCTGCATGTATGATTCTAATTATTATGCAAACTAAAGTACCTCCTTCAGCTACACATACAAATACATATTTGTACACATACATGTATATAATTACATATATATGTAACCGTTGTATTAATTAAAACAAAATGAGCACAAAAGGAAATGATCATAAGATACTTAATGATCAATGAGTCACCTCTGGTCCCGCCTCCCCTCTCACAGCTGACTGATTCTTCCTAAAAACACAACGATAAGAGCAAGATGACATCATGAAGTCCATGTGTATATATGTGAACGTCTAAATGGCAGTAACTCAATCAAAGTTGTCACGTAATTGTGTAGAAGACACAATATTTCCGACACAGATGTAGTGGTGTAGAAGTAAATATTCAAGTACTTCTAAAATGTACTAGTTAGAGTAGTTAGAGTAAAAGTAACTTATGAACCAAGAACAGGGACATCAACGGCAGAAGATAATACTAAAGATATATAAAAATACAACATGTGTATATTTGGAGTATGAGGGGCGTGTCGTACTTCCTGATGATGGCGAGGACCACGATGACGAAGCAGAGGAGCATCAGGACAGAAGACACCACGCTGACTATTAGAGACACCTGAACGCCTCCTGAAACACAGCAGTCTGTGAGGAGACTCTCAATCCCCACGGTCAGCTTTTCAAAATAAGACTCCACCCGATGCGGGATGACCGTGAATTCCTGTTAACAGCATTTAAAATGACTGTTACCTGTCAGGTACCTGGCCAGGTACTCCACAAAACAACTAACCTTCCTCTTCAGCCTCCACGTGCACACTAAACGCTTTAGAGAACGAGCTGACGTCGTTCTTTAAACGACAGGTGTAATTCCCAGAATCCCCTGCAGTCAGAGCGGCAAGGTGGAGGGAGGGGCCAGTGTGTTTGAGGGCGTGGCCATCTCTGAGCCAGGTGACCTCCAGCTGGTGGAAAGTGCACTTTGTAGTGCAGTTCAGTGTGATGGCTTCACCTCTTTTAAACGCTCTGTGGGTGGAGCTGTGCACCTCCATCTGAGCTCCGTCTGAAATACATTTTAAATGCTTTGATACATGAACACCGCTGGTGCTCATTGGATGGAACCGATGATGATGTAACCGGTTCAAACCCCATTATCATTAGAGTTTCTAATGATTATGATTAGTTATTTGCTTTTTAACCTTCACAAATAAGAAAAAAGAAGGCGTGTTCTTCCCAAAGCTCTCGATCATCTCGTCAACCTGTGTGAGATCCTTCTTACCAACGACCTCCTGAGGAGGTTGTAAGCTGCGGTAGCTTTGGATACATCAGAAGTTATCAAACGAAAAGGAGAAGCGTTGATGCTCATTCATATGTGCGTTGGATGATCTTACCAGACACTCTGACTGTCGCTCCTGATCGGCCAGTATAATGATTTGCTGCATCATTCGCTTCCATTCTAAAGCGAAACGTCCCATTGTCTCCGTCCTGCACACCTGTGATCTGTAAGCTGCAGTTTCCCTTCTTGTCTCCCAGGTAACGGTAACGAGGGTTGTTGACCCTTTTATTTTGTAATTCACTGTCGTACACAGACGGAGTCGTGAGTTGACAGATTTCATGGTTCTTGCACCAAACGACTCTGATGATCTCGACCAGAACCTGTTTTCCGTCTGTATTGACAGACTGTGGAGTAAAGGAGCAGAGGATTGTGAGAGTGGATCCTTTAACAGCACAAAGTGGATGCTGGTAGTCCACCCTCGGCCCCTGACCCACGGCACCTGAGACAACACAAGGTCACACAAAATCAACTGAGTTCAGTGTCTCTGATTGTCTCTGTCGTAGTAAACTGAGGTCTGACCAGATGCTTCATCTCATGTTACAGGACAGACGGAAACTCTTCTGGCCCCAAAACATTGTTACTGGGGTTGCAAAGAGGAGAGCATGCAAAAGGCTAATGCCAACAAATACGATTAGCTTGTGCGAGTGAGAGAGCGCCGGTCTCACCTGTCAGGAGAAGCAAAACGCAACACACAACCTTTTTGTCCCCATCCGCCATCCTTTTCCCTTTGAAATCTTCAACTCCCAGAAGTAGAAGCTAAAGGTGGAGGACCGAGTGTGAATCAGTCCAAGCGAATGTCTCCAGTCGCTTCCTCATTTCTTTCACCTTTCCCCCAAACTTCTCTTTCCTTTGAACCACGTGTCTGTTTTGCGTCAGCTGTGTCCTGGAACTTTCCTAAAAACAGTCACTTTCTGAGAAACCCAAAGAGATCAAACAACAACCCAGCTGGTCTATATGTGGTACCAGTGGTTGGATGGTCAGCTGGTCTATATGTGGTACCAGTGGTTGGATGGTCAGCTGGTCTATATGTGGTACCAGTGGTTGGATGGTCAGCTGGTCTATATGTGGTACCAGTGGTTGGATGGTCAGCTGGTCTATATGTGGTACCAGTGGTTGGATGGTCAGCTGGTCTATATGTGGTACCAGTGGTTGAATGGTCAGCTGGTCTATATGTGGTACCAGTGGTTGGATGGTCAGCTGGTCTATATGTGGTACCAGTAAGTTGAAATACAAACCTCTTTGCAGATTATTATTTCACAGGGAAAAGCAGATTTCACCGATTGGGCTGGACGAAGTACTCTGACCCTTTACGGCAGTGACGGTACAAATAACACACCTTATTGGTGGAAAGTGCTCCATGTGCACTGACTGTCCTGTTAAACTGGTTTCAAGTCTCACTGATCCCACTGCGCCCACACCTGGACTCATTCACACACACACAGGTGAGAGCAAACTCTTCTACTATTGCCAACAGTACTACTAGTACTACTATTATGTCTTACGTTAAATTTTAATTCAATTCATTTTATTTTGTAAAGCCCAAAATCGCAAATTACAAATTTGCCTCAGAGGGCTTTACAAAATGAATGAAAACCGTTCCACGGGGAAACAAGGGAAGAAAGCTTAGTGAGAACAAGAGGAGAATCCGTCTCCTTATGGACAGACTACAATGGATGACATATTATAACATGGCCGGGTTTTGAAATCCAAAAAGCTGATTTAGTTATTACTCTATAGTTTTTTTCATGGTGATGTGATTTTTAACAGTGTCCTTTGTTTTAAGTTCTTTAATGATCATGTCATCTTGAGTCTTCATGTAATTACATAATTGTCGATTTCATTTATGTTGTTGGTAGAAACACACAATAGACACTGCATAAATAACACAGAGCATCTGCTCAAGAGAGACTTTCAACCAGGGAAGGTCTCTGAAGGACCAACACTACAGTCAGTTAAAGACTGAGGTCTTTGTCACTGGAGGGAAACAAGTGAAGTAAAAAGACCACCTCCTCTCTCCTCGTACGGCCACAGAATCTCTGTGGTCGCTTAGTTTCTCTTTAAAGTTACATCTTTTTAATCTTTAATGTATCTTTGTGTCTTCGAGCTACTTTGAAGTTGCTTTCTGCCTTTTTGTGGTTATTTTGTAGGTAGAGTTACATTTTTATTTGGCTTTTATCGAGAGCAACTTAAAATAAGTGAACTCAAGGAAGAGTACGGAACCAGAAAAACAAGAATAAAGTAAGGAGGACGGGAGGAGGAGGGTGAGAGGAGCAACATTGATACGGGACCATCGATCAGCGTCCATGTATCCTCATTGTTATGACTCATAGCATCTACAGATTTATGATACAGACATTAACAAGTGTGAAAGAACAAAAAGCCAAATGGTGGCAATCCTTGAGATGAATTTGAACATGTGGAACCAGTAGCTGTGGACAACTGGGTCCACCGGTCTTCCCGGTTGCTGTTAGTCCTACAAGCAGAGGTATGGCGGGGGCAGGGAGACGCATAGAGACCAAAGGGTATTAGATGTTATCTGAAGTCATTATGACCACAAAGATGTGTTTTCACATTCTTCACGTGTTAATCACATTAAGGAACACTCGTCCTTCTGTTTATCACAAACATTATGTCTCTTGCAGTATCGTCTCCTCATGATGTCCGTCTCCTGCAGAAATGAAGACAATGCGAGAGCTGAATTTCAGTCCTGTAAAAGTACTGATGCAAAACACAGAGTTCAGTTCTACGACAGCTGGGCAGAAAACTACGAGAAGGTCTGTGTACTACCTGTTCAGGTACTCTGTATACTATGTGATGCCCTGAGAGGCGCCGCCGCTCTCACCGGGGCAGTTCGAGCGGTGCAAGGACACAAGGTTCAAATATAAACAAAAGGTTTTATTCACGTTCTCCGGAAACAAAAACAGTCGTCCAAACAGGGTAACTCAGGCTCCGGTGGATCGGCGCCAGTCCACCTTAAACAATGTCCCGTCTTCAGAGGGGAATCATGAATCCAACTCACGAGAATATACAGTCTTCCTCCACGATATCCTCCTACGGCGGTCTGGTCTTCTGCAGCGAGCCCAACCTGCAGATCGTCTCTCTAACCCCAGGAACCAGCCGCTCGTGACATCACAACTACCTGTTCAGCTACAGGTGTTCACTTAAGCCTCCCATCTATCTGAACCAGGACGCAAGCCTGATGTGCTACCGAGCTCCACACCTGGCCGTGGACTTCCTGTCCAGCAGCTTCTCGGGGAGTCGAGGAGCCGCTCGTGTTCTGGACGTGGCCTGTGGGTCCGGGTTGGTCGCAAAGCTGGTGAGCCTTTCATCCATTCATCTTCTACACCCCCTGTCCTCGTGGGGGAATGGGGTCAATCCCAGCTAACATCAGATGGTTGAACTGGACCAGTAGGAGCCTAAAAAAACTTCTAACACAGTAAACTTTGCATTTAGGGGACGTGCTCAGTGCGCTCTGGTGATTGTGTTGCTTGTTAGCAGAATAAACCATTAAATTACACCATGAAATTAGCCATGGAAGGTCATCAGGTCATGTCTGGTCACTACGTCACAAGTCCCTCACTTCTTCTTCTTCTGGTATATTTAGATGGTTAAACCGAACCAATGTCGTCCCAGTAGACGCTGCTAAAGTTCTGTACGGACCGACGATAGGACCAGAACCTCATTTCATAGAGGTTTAGGAGCTAATGTTGGTTGTCTTTGTCTTCTGGTGCTTCTAGATGTTAGAACTGGGCTTCAAGCACTTTGTGGGAGTGGACGGCAGTCAAGGTATGCTGGACCAAGCTGCTAAGACCGGGATCTACGAGGAGCTCAGACTGGCCTTACTGGGAGCAGAGCCACTGCCAGCAAAGATTGGTACACCACACACTCACACTGCATACACACTTACTGTACCTGTATATATGTGTTGGTAAGTGAGAATGAGTTATATGCTCCAACAGGCACTGAGGCCACCTAAGGGGTCCTTGTTTTAGGAGTCAAGCGGGAGACGTTTTCACACGCTAGGGAGAAGTAAGAAAAAAGAGAAGTAAAGTTTACCTGTAACTTGGCGGACTTCTTACCTGTTTAACGGAGGAATAAAGCGTTTCTTAAAAACTAACGTCAGTAAGTTAACACACAAACACAAAGGAATAATCCCAGATGATGAAGGATGCGGCATAACCATTTCAGTTATATAGAAGGTGGAGCCACAGATCAGTTGCAGGACAATAAGGGCGGGGCCACAGATCCGTCCCATGTATAATGAGGGCGGGGCCACAGATCCGTTTCATGTATAATGAGGGCGGGGCCACATATCCGTCCCATGTGTAATGAGGGCGGGGCCACAGATCCGTTCCATGTGTAATGAGGGCGGGGCCACAGATCAGTTGCAGGGCAAAAAGGGCGGGGCCACAGAGCAGTCACAGGACAAAAACGGCGGGGCCACAGATCCGTTCCATGTATAATGAGATCAGATCAGTTTCATGTGTAAAGAGGGCGTCGCCACAGATCAGGCCCAGGACAAGGAGGAAGATACTAACCCATGAAAACCTTCTTGATTGGTGGAACCTTAACAGGGCTCCTCCTCCTCCTGGTTTCAGGTGCGTTTGATGTGGTGATCATGGTTGGCGCTCTGGATCCGGGTTTTGCACCAGTCAGTGTTGTGAGGGAGCTCTGCCAGGCCGCCAAACCAGGTCAGAGTCGGACCTGGTGTGGATCTCTCATACTAAATGCTCAGTACAGAACTCCCTGTGAGTGAACACGCTGTGTGTTGGTCTGCAGGTGGTTTGATCTGCATGTCGAGAGGCGACCACAGAGGACCAGCAGGACGTGAATACAAGAAGGATCTGGAGGCAGAGCTGCAGCTGATGGAGGAGGAGGACCTGTGGAGTCCAGTAGGACTCAAACGCACCAACAGATACATGAAGGACCCTCATCTGAAGCCAGAGGAGATCCAGCAGCTGCAGCTGGAGGAGTGTTACCTAAGTGGGACTGCTTATCTCTACAAGAAGCACAGCCGTTAAAGCAAAGGCTCAATCAGAGAGCTGAGGTAGCCCATGGCTTTAGATATGAAAACATAATACAATATAGAGAAATGCTGTGGAAAAATATTGTTCTGTGTAGGTTATTTTGTGGTTGTAGTTTAAATTTGGTCAATTTTGAGTGTGTTTACAATTTTGATCTTAAAAGCAAAATGGTAGAAGCTTGATTAGATATCAGGGGTATAATGAAATCTTAGGACTCAGTTGGGGCTTTTGGGATAATAAGTTACTCATTGGTGCAGGAGGGCTGATCTAGAACTGGGGTCTCAAACTCATTTCATGTTTGGGCCAGATGCAGCCCCCGACCGAACGCCAGCTAGACCATCACGGTCGGCGGGGGGGGGGCTGGCGGCGCTGACGGTCCGACCGGCGAAAGGTACGGTCGCGCTGACGGTAAGTCGGCCGAACCCCCCTGCTGGCGGGCCGGAGTTTGAGACCCCTGATCTAGAAGGGTTTTTATTGAATACAGGACCAAACGTTTTCTTGTGTCAACGACTAGAGTCGCTCAAGGGGGGAATGTTTCTTCATGTTCACTCACGTTACGCAAGGAGACACAACGCGAGGGTCTGACAACCAGACTGAGTTAGTCCAGCATCAACAAGCAGGTCGAGGGGCAGGTGAAGGACAAGGAGAAGGACAGTGGGACGACACCAACAGGAGGAGAGTCACGCCAAAGACATGTATAAACTAATGTGTTGTATCATCACCTCGTTGGTGTCTTTCCTCTGAACTGAAGGATCTCCAGTGTGTTCTATGGGTGTGTTACTGAGACTTCCTGGTCTGTGAGGATGTGTGGGTCCTGGTCTGTGAGGATCTGTGGGTCCTGGTCTGTGAGGATGTGTGGGTCCCGGTCTGTGAGGATGTGTGGGTCCCGGTCTGTGAGGATGTGTGGGTCCCGGTCTGTGAGGATGTGTGGGTCCTGGTCTGTGAGGATGTGTGGGTCCCTGTCTGTGAGGATGTGTGGGTCCCGGTCTGTGAGGATGTGTGGGTCCCGGTCTGTGAGGATGTGTGGGTCCCGGTCTGTGAGGATGTGTGGGTCCTGGTCTGTGAGGATGTGTGGGTCCCGGTCTGTGAGGATGTGTGGGTCCTCATCTCCTGGTCTGTGAGGATGTGTGGGTCCCGGTCTGTGAGGATCTGTGGGTCCTGGTCTGTGAGGATCTGTGGGTCCTGGTTTGTGAGGATCTGTGGGTCCTGGTCTGTGAGGATCTGTGGGTCCTGGTCTGTGAGGATGTGTGGGTCCTGGTCTGTGAGGATGTGTGGGTCCTGGTCTGTGAGGATGTGTGGGTCCTGGTCTGTGAGGATGTGTGGGTCCTGGTCTGTGAGGATGTGTGGGTCCTCATCTCCAGTCAGAGGGATACAGTCGGCGACAGGCACCACATTTTGTGGGGCAGGTGCTCAAACCCAAACAAAAGGGCATCCATCGCACAGTAGGATTTATTCACCGTCCTTCTGCTTTTTGGCTTTATGCTGCAAATTATGTAAATGAGATGAATGAAAGTTAATAATAATCAAAAGCTGACAATACACACACATTGTTGTACTCTTTTTGTTGAAGCATAAGCAGAATTACACTAATAATATACCACAATATACCTCCCCGACTGTCATGTAGCTCCACTTAAGACCTACGTTTCATTTCATTGATGATTCTCAATAAAGTTAGAAACAAAGACACGTACCCCCATTTGAGAACCACTGACTTAGACAATCCAAAGTTAATATGAATTAAAACACAACAACACTAAAACAACAGGAATCATAGATCATAAATAATAAAGGCGAACATCTGAAAACATATAAACATCATTTAAATCCATCCAGCCGTTTGTTATGCAAGTCGTGCAAATGTACGTCAGTGCGTATAAAGACAATCTGCTATTTTTTATCTCACAATTTGGTGACGCGAGGCAGGGGGCGGGGCTTTCTCCTCCGCGAGGACCATTGCACTGAGGAGGACAACGCGGTGACCTCCCACTCTGATGACTTTTCTGTCAACCGAAAGGTTCACGTTATTGAGGTGTCGTAAGGTCGACGTTTTATCTTTTTAAGTTTTGTAAAAAATAAGTAATTACACTCGCACATTGAAAGCTTTAACCAAAATCTATCCTCGAATTATATTTATTATTTTTTCATTTAAACAATGACTTATTAACATGAAAAATGAAGCTGTCAGTACAGCTTGGAGAAATCAACAGAATATCATTAATTATATATTTAATAATATATGTATGTCACAATATGTACCTCTGAGATGTATTAGAATATCTCTGAGCTGTAGCTGTAGTACAATAAAAGTGCAAAATGTAAATTATATATATTATGTTTATAAATTAGTGCTTGGCAACGATGAAATTGAACTGGATTAATTGCATTATTTTTTGTGGCAATTAGTTGCATTATGCACAGAATTCAATACCACGCTAAGGACCGTCCTACTGGATATGCGTGTTAAACGTATAATTAGCTTCACTGCTCTTTTGCGCGGAGTGGGTCATCGCCTTCAATCCGCCATCTGTGTCCAGTCTCATCGCGAGCGCCTCCGCGCAGCCTCCCTGCATCCGAGCGCGAGCATCAGTGCGCAGGAACAGAGGCAGAGAAGACGGGGGGACAGAAGAGACCGAGGAAAGACAGAGACAGAGACGGGACGCCATCGGGTCCCTGGAGCGGCGCCTCTCCCGGACCAGCGGCTTCTTCTCGGCCTCTCGGCCCTCTATGGGTGTGAGTGGGAGCGGCCGGTAGTCGGGCGGTGTCTCCTCCATCTCTGCGCTCTTCTTCCCGCTCCGTCCGGACAACAAAATGGCGGATGTCATCGAGCTCGGACCGGCCTACGGTGAGACCCGGGCCCGTTCGGTGTCCCGCGCCCCGCGGCTCGTCGTCGAGATAACGGCTTTCAGTCGGTCCCGGACGGTTTTATTTGGGTCAACGGGGAATCCAGCAGGTGTATCGGGCCTAAACGCCCCGTGTCGTCCTCATAATAATCTCCATTATTAACGAGCAGCCAAAGGGAACATTTAAAGACAAAATGGCGCTGGTGTTGGGAGAGAATTTAACCGGAGGGAACGTGAGATCAAAGAGAATAACATCCATGACGTCACACAGGGCGGCTTCCTCTTGGGGGCCTCATCTGCGTGCGCGCGCGTGCCAGTCGGGGTGGTGTATCTGAGGTGACGTCATGTCTGAACGCGGCGTTGTTTTGAACCCGAGGTACCCGGATGCTACCATCAGGTAACAGAGTATTTGTACAGTGTACAAATACTCTGTTACTCGTGCCATCAAACTACATCAGCCAATGTACTCTTATACAGTACAAATACCGTGGTGTAAAAGTACTCCGTTAAATGTAGCCTACTAATACTATTGTGTACAAATACTGTTATACAGTTAATCTACAAATAATAAGTATTAATACTGTACAGTTACTCTCATACAGCAAGAGTACTAATGCCACAGGTTAAGTACTACAGACTGTAACAATATCTTGTCACAGTATCTATATTCAGACTATTATTACTGATAGATTGATGTACTTTAGTATTAATATATGATTATTTTTTATCCGTTCATATATATACATGTATATATGGTGTGCGTGTGTGTGTGTGTGTGTGTGTGCGTGTTGCTAGGCAGCGAGCTGCTTTCAGCTGGTTCCCAAACATGACGTCATGGCTCGGGTCTCAATAGGAAGGAGGTCTCTCTCCGGTTGTGGTTCTTGGTCCTCTGCTCACGTTCTCCGTATGTAATCAACAGATCGCCGTGGTGTTTGAAACACGTTGCACGGAATCCAGAAACTAAGCTGCAAACGGATGATCAAATATTTTAAACCTCACTTCATTTCTTCCTTATTGTGAACCTTTAATGCGTCAGCTTCTATCAGGTGATTCATATCAACCTCATCACCTGGTTCCAAAACGCACGACTTAAACGCACTGAAATGAGGTTAAATGAATGAAGACTTAATGAGGGGAAGCTGCTCAGAACCCATTAAGAGCAAAGACAACTGTGGCATTAAGCACTTGTCACCTGGAGATGACTCAGCTGGAATCATCTCAGAGGGTTAAAGCCCTCAGACTGGCTCCATGTTCTAGATCTGTTCTAGATGTTCTATAACCCTGTTCTAGAAATATCAGATGTATTTAAATTGAACTCATATGAAGACGGACTCGCTCAAAGTGGAGGTGTGACCATCGAATTGATGCAGATGAATTGATTAAATGAGTCCTTGATTCAAGGTGATAATATGAGATCCTTTCGTCTGGTTATTGCTTATAGTTATTCTTTATTTATTACTTCCACTTTTCCTTTTTAGTAGCTTACTTATGTAGAATATTAATTCACTATCAACAGCTCGATTATTTGATTTGTGTGTTTATGAAATGCTTTAATTTTATTGGTTGAAATGACATCTAATGTTGGATGCTACACACTGTACGTGGCCTCCAACACAGAGGCTTCTCTTAAATTATTAGTCAACTTATGGTTGGTTCAAAGTGTGTGTGTGTGTGTGTGTGTGTGTGCGCGCGGATGAAGACAACAACACTGTACACAGCAAACAAAGAACCTCACTGGCCTCCGCTTGTGTCTGCTGCATTGTGGGAAATTGTTCATCTTATGTTATTCAAGATGAGTTAAACTTGATCTGCTGTTTCCACTGAAGATCCTCATAACGCAGATATCGCTTATGAGAACGAGTCCAACGTGACGGTAAACAACGTAAATGTTTCATTGATGAAGCGAGACTGAGGACGACGTGATGATGATGATGACGTGATGATGATGATGACGTAATGACGTAATGATGACGTAATGATTGATGGGTGGCTGACTGGTGGTGTCGCTGTGTGTGTCTCAGCCATGTCTCCGGTCCTGGCGGGCTTCCTGGGAGCTGGGGTTCTGGTTCTGGTGGTGGTGGTTCTGGTTCTGCTCTGGTCCTTCTGTCAACGGCGTTACCTTCGCGTCTCTGGACGCTACAAGCTGCACGGCGACCGTTACTGCGACTCCGAAGACCCCCCTTACAAGTTCATCCACATGTTGAAGGGCATCAGCATTTACCCAGAATCCCTCAGCAGCAGCAAGAGGATCGTCCGAGGCATCCGGCGCGCGGACCGGTCCAAACGTGACGGCGAGCGCGGCTTCCCAACAGCTGGCGCGGGGAGGGGCCTGGTGCTGGTGGACGCCGAGAACAACATCCTGGACGTCCCGGGTCAGCTCCAAATGAGTCATCTGGTCCCGCCCGCCGGGCCAGGCCCCGCCCACGGCGCAGGGCGGACGGAGCGGGCTCTGCCGGTCCGCGCCGACTACTGCTGCCTGGACAGCAGCTCGGCCGGCAGTAGCCAGACCAGCAGCAAGACGGCGTCCCCCTTCACCCCGGCCCCCTCAGAGCCGGAGCCCGACCCGAGTCTGGGCACCGTCAGCCTCACTGTCGACTACAACTTCCCCAAGAAGGCGCTGGTGGTGACCATCGTCGGCGCCCGGGGCCTCCCCGCCATGGATGAGCAGGCGGGCAGCTCGGACCCCTACGTGAAGATGACCATCCTGCCGGAGAAGAAGCACCGCGTCAAGACCCGCGTGCTGAGGAAGACCCTGGACCCGCTGTTCGACGAGACCTTCACCTTCTACGGCGTGGCCTACAGCTCGCTGCCCGAGCTCACCCTGCACTTCCTGGTCCTCAGCTTCGACCGCTTCGCTCGCGACGACGTCGTCGGCGAGGCCGTGGTGCCGCTGAAGGGCGTGGACCCGAGCACGGGCCGAGTCCACCTGAGCCAGCAGATCAGCAAGAGGAACATGCAGGTGAGCAGATGTCTTATTGGTTCTCTCCATCTAACTAAGGAGCCGCATGGAGCAACTGATCAATAACTCATCTCTCTAAAGATCAGATGTTCTCTCAGACCCTCCTGGACACACGTCTGTCCCTTCAAAATAAAAGTCTTGCTTCTGTGTGGAAGCAGAACCGTGAGTCTTTAGAGCAGAATAATATTCATGATGACTCTCATAAAAAAGAAGAAGAATAGATGAACACTGAGGGGATGTTATAGTATTATGTGGTGATACCACGTGGCCATGTGACCCGAGCGGAGCTCCGTGTGCTTGTGTCGTCAGTGTGAGACTCGTGGCGAGCTGCTGGCGTCTCTGTCCTACCAGCCGGTGTCTCATCGCCTCAGCGTGGTCGTCCTGAAGGCCCGACACCTCCCCAAGATGGACATCACCGGCCTGTCCGCGAGTGAGTCCCGACTCAACGTCCACAGACTTCAACATAAACACGCACAGTATACACCAATCACCTCACAGGGTAGTACAAAGACTACGTTTAATACCGCTGTACAAATATTCAGAATATTCTCTAATGTATTATCAATTTCAATATTATTATTGTTATGATGGAGTAGAAGTTTTTTCCTGTGATTCGATTAACATCTGAAGTTCTGTCCCTCCCAGCGGGTCCTGAAGGGGGCGCTGGAGGACAGATGATGGAGGGAAGACAATTACGGTCTTCATCCTCATAGATGACAAACAATTCCTTTAATAATGTTAACTGTCATTTTATTTAGTAGATTCCACACTAATCTTCTTTTGTTCTGGTTCCACATCTGTTTGAGATTTAATGGAGTTAAGAGTCCAGTATTTAAATGTCTGCAGACTAAAACACATCAGATGAGTGACATTTAATCATTAGAAGTGTATAATCTATTTCTGAATAAACATTGAGAAAGTTTTTTTTCTCCTGTCCAAAGCTCACACTGTTTCCTGATGGAGATTCTTATTGTAAAAAGAATAATTAAAAACACGAACAGACGAAAGCTGCTTGTAATTTTTAAATAAATACCAACCAGCCTCAAAGCGTCACACTAAAATCCTAAAAACAAACATTTCTCAAGGTTCTATTGTTTTAGATGAAGCCATTAAAGCTACTAATTATATCACGACTATGCGGTGACTAAAGTTCGGTTCTTCCCCTCAGACCCGTACGTGAAGGTGAACGTCTTCTACGGACGCAAGCGCATCGCCAAGAAGAAGACGCATGTGAAGAAGTGCACGCTGAACCCCGTCTTCAACGAGTCCTTCATCTACGACATCCCGCCGGAGCTGCTGCCCGAGATCTCCGTGGAGTTCCTGGTGGTGGACTTCGACCGGACCACCAAGAACGAGGTGCTGGGCCGCCTGCTGCTGGGCCTCCACGGCCCCGCCCCCTCCGGCGCCTCCCACTGGAGGGAGGTCTGCGAAAACCCCCGCCGGCAGATCTCCAAATGGCACAGCCTGAGCGAGTACTGAGGGAGGAGCTAAAGACTCACACACACACGCACGCACGCACACACACACACCCCGTTCACACCTGGTGCTCACATGCGTCTCCGGCGATCTGATCCCACGTCAGCTCTTATGGTGGCAAAGAGACAAAGAAGTTGTGTCTGGTCCCTCGCAGACCTCCTCCGCCCGTTATGAACGCTTGACATCAGCCTGGGCCCGAGGGAATTACCCATGATTCATAGCAAGGGCAAACAAAGAGATGTGTGTTCAGCCCGGAGATCCACACGGAGATGTTAAGGATTAATAAATACAATAAAATCTAGACTCACCGATTTATTCAGCGAACATCTTGCCTTTTGAAATCAATTGTTATTCGACAAATGAGTCAAACGCAGTGATTGTACGTCACCGTGGTAACGCACCCTCACTAGTCTTATATAGCTGTAGAAGTTCAGGCGTCACGCGGTCAGATCCCCGAAGACTGGAGGGAACGCCGGGTGTGAACGCCCCCCCCCTATTGCATCATAACATCCTCAAGCCTCATAAAAACCCTCCACCTCCTTTAAAGAGAAGCAGAAGGAGCCGTGAGTCATCGATCAGACTGTGCTGAGTGTGTCGACGGGGGGAAGGAATGCTCAGATATTAAAAAAGAAAAGAAAAAAGAAGATTCCCCCTCTTGCTGTTGTTGTCATGCAGTTCATCGCATGTCTGTCCGAAGAGTAAACAAAAAAAGTCCAAATGAAGAACTGCTGACATCCCACTAAGTGATTGACAGGACCATGATGCAACATTTAAATGACTCACTAACACTGTGTAATATAATATATCCTAATATATCCAAGTATAAGTACTCCTCAGTAGGACCAGTTAAGTGACGTGTCCCACATGTTCCGGGGCGGCGGCAGCATGATCCCCGGTTCTCTCTTCTCAGTCCTGATCCTGGAGGATCCCTCAGCTTCATGTGGATTTACAAACGGTTCACGTCTCCTGACTGAAGACGACTGGAAAGATGCTGATAGAGCGGCTTGGAGCAGGACGAGAGACCCTGTAAAATACTTCATTTACTAAGTAGTCTCAGCAGGAAGCAGCTGTGGCGGCTGATTGAGACTCGTTATGATCAGGAATCGTCATGACCTGGACTCCTTATGACCTGGACTCGTTATGACTTGGACTCCTTATGACTTGGACTCCTTATGACCTGGACTCGTTATGAATTGGACTCCTTATGACCTGGACTCGTTATGAATTGGACTCCTTATGACCTGGACTCGTTATGACTTGGACTCCTTATGACTTGGACTCCTTCTGACCTGGACTCGTTATGAATTGGACTCCTTATGACCTGGACTCCTTATGACTTGGACTCCTTCTGACCTGGACTCGTTATGAATTGGACTCCTTATGACCTGGACTCCTTATGACTTGGACTCCTTCTGACCTGGACTCGTTATGAATTGGACTCCTTATGACCTGGACTCCTTATGACTTGGACTCCTTCTGACCTGGCCTCGTTATGAATTGGACTCCTTATGACCTGGACTCGTTATGACTTGGACTCCTTCTGACCTGGACTCGTTATGACTTGGACTCCTTATGACTTGGACTCCTTCTGACCTGGACTCGTTATGACTTGGACTCCTTATGACTTGGACTCCTTCTGACCTGGACTCGTTATGAATTGGACTCCTTATGACATGGACTCGTTATGACTTGGACTCCTTATGACTTGGACTCCTTCTGACCTGGACTCGTTATGAATTGGACTCCTTATGACATGGACTCCTTATGACCTGGAATCATTACGATCTGGAATCATTACGATCTGGAATCGTCATGACTTGGACTCCTTATGACCTGGACTCCTTATGACCTGGACTCGTTATGACTTGGACTCGTTATGACTTGGACTCCTTCTGACCTGGATTCATTATGAATTGGACTCCTTATGACCTGGACTCGTTATGACTTGGACTCGTTATGACTTGGACTCCTTCTGACCTGGACTCCTTATGACTTGGACTCGTTATGAATTGGACTCCTTATGACCTGGACTCGTTATGACTTGGACTCCTTATGACTTGGACTCGTTATGAATTGGACTCCCTATGACATGGACTCCTTATGACCTGGAATCATTACGATCTGGAATCATTACGATCTGGGAATCGTCATGACTTGGACTCCTTATGACCTGGACTCATTATGACCTGGACTCGTTTTGACCTGGACTAAATATGGAGAATAACATAATATTGTTTTGATAACAGATTTAATATTCTTATCAAAAACAGCTTCCCCCCCACGTTAAAAGATCTCATCAGGACTTCCTGCTGCTTTACGCTCCAAAATAAAAGACCTCCGAGGCACTTCCTCCCTTTTGCTGGCTACAGTGTCACTTCGTCAGACCGAGCGTTGCTTCTCTCGGTCTCCTCATCAAAAAATTTGGCAAATATTGAAATTGGGGGCGTCGGCCGCCACAGCTCCGCCTCCACTTCCTGCCTCCGTCCCACCTCGTTCATCCTCTGACGGACCTCTAGAGATGCTCTCACTTTGCTCGGTGTGTTTTTATAAAGACCTGTAGATGTTTGTTAGGAGCTTTTTAATATCTCCGTCACACCGGAGTCGCTCCTCCTCGAGTTTGCTCGTCGGCAGACAGGAAGTGACCCGGAGACGGTTTCTTCTGAAGGGACAACAACGCTGTAGATTTGTACAGAGGTGAAGATGTTTCCTGTTTGGTGTGTTTGAGTTGTGAAACCTGGAGGAATGTTAATAAAAACTACAACGAGTCAAAGCATTGTTAGTAATATCATTTACAGATTATATATTTAATACAGTGTTTATCCACTGCTCAAACCTTCAAAAAACATGTTTATGTACCCCACAGAGGCATCAGGGTACATGTACTGGAGGACAATTGTGAGGTACTTTTTACTGTCTCATCTCAGAGGTACTTATGGTTCTTCTTATCACACTATGACATTTACTTATATAAGTTATGAAGTACTTTTACGCCACGTTGTCCCCCTTAAGGCCGTACCCGCTGACCCCAGACCCCTCGGACTCGTCTCTGTGGCTTCTGGCATCAGAATCAAGACACAATGATGTCATCCCTTTAGGTCCAGGAAGCCTCACCTTCAAAGCGAGGTGAGGGTCATGTGACGGCGGCGTTGGGTAAGAAGTAGAAGCTTCTCTCTGGAGAACTGAAGGCCTCTGTGATGCGCCGTTCGTCAACTTTAGTTCCAAAGAAAACGCCGAATCCGGCGTGTCGCCGCTCGTTACAGCGTAACCCGAGAGCGTCGCGGTCACATGGAGGCCTCCCGCCCACACACAGCGCTCCTTTCATCACACCTCCGGCCCTCCCAACGAGTTCACGAGTCTCCCCTGAGAATCTGTCACGCCGGGGAGGAGAACAACTGGCAAGCTGTCGCAGGTTTTAACGTCTACTCGGAACCCGTGAGGATCTGATCCGGGGTCAGCTGGTAGAGGCCTCGCTGGCGTCAGGGGGCAGAGATCTGATCTGACAGCAGCCGCGGTTTCTCCTGGAAATACAGACTCTGATCTGATAAAGGATCCTAGACGCTGAGGGCGAGGTCATGGCGTCGCATTCATGGCCCATCAGAGGGCCTTTCGTCATCTCCTTTCAGTGTCTTTCAGTAAAGACAATCTGACTGATTTCTTCATATCTGTCTGATTTTAAGCTCCACCTCAATGTTCGTCATTTGTTTGTGTGTTGACACCTTGTTCTTGTTACTAGTTCAGAACTCTAACGGTGGAAATCTGTCCCAGAAATTAAATCTTAATGCGGGGGATGAAAATGAGTGAAACGCTAAGGACCTCTTTTGCTCCATCGCTGCTCTCTGATGACATGAAGACGTTCCATTGTGGCTTCCGTGCTTGAAGAGGCGTTCAAGGAGACCACGGACATCTGAGCCTCCCGAGCGGGAACTGTTCAGGTTCCTGGTTCTGTTCTTTTAACTCAGCACAGTGTGATTATGGTAAATATTAGGTAGTAATGTGACTGATCTTTTATGAGAAGAAGAGGACCAAGGATGGGACCCTGAGGAACTCCCCCTCCATTGTGAACATGATTCATCTGAAGAACGTTGAGCTACTGGCGTTAGCATGCAACTACCGTCAGTTCTAAAATCTCTAATGACGTTAGCATGCTAACCAGCTAGCCCAATAATAACAGTACGTCTACGGTCCGTAGATGGATGTTTTATTGGTTTGGATTTAGTGGTAGTGGGAGGAGTTTTCTTAGTCGACTGTAGACCTGGAATATGGTTTGAGGAATTGCATATGAAAATAATAAATATAAGTAGGTTGTGTGTGTCTCTGCTGAATGACTTCATTGAGTGTTTTATTAATTGATTGGTCGTCGACAAATCGAGCGGTTAATCGGGCATCGCCGGTGACATCACGGCGCTCTCGGCCAATCGGGTGGCTGATCTCAGGCGGACGAGCACCTCCCTTCGAGTCTTTATGAGCGGGTCACAGAGTCTGAGAGTCTTCATCTTCGTCATCACCCAGTTCAGCGCCGCCTCGACCCTTGAGCCTTTCTGATGGGGTAAGACCAGTTCTTCTTCAGTCAACACGGGTTTATAACTGGACCTCTTTTAGTTTTGTATTTGATTGTATTTTCTCTGATCATTTGATTGATAGATTCATCACCTGACAGATATTCAACATGTTTTCATAATCAAATAAACAAAACACATTATTATCAACTTGAAATGACGTCTGAACAAAAGATTTGAAATATTTAATTATTTTCTTAAAACATTATTTTAGAGATTTCTTTTTTTTGTCGTTGAAATTCATCCAAATCCCCCAAAAATGAAACAATCTTGAAAGCACTTTGTCCTCCGCCTGGTTTATAGGTGAATCCTGCGTAAAGGAGCTGATCCTTAACGCAGACTCTTCTCTACGTCACATCTGACAAGTCAATCAGCAGATTCAATTCTTCAATTCCTCCGTCTCAAATTGAATTGTTCAACTCTTTTTAGACGTTTCCTCTTTGGCGAGATGTTTTTTATCCACTCAATGCAGTATTTTGTCTTTCTACATTTACATTGAGTTATTGATATTATTGTGATGCGGTGAACACGGGGTCATGACACCGTCACCCGACGTAGCATTTATGATCCATCAGGTCACTTAAACCCGGATG